GAGGCTCCCAAGGAGCCCAAACGAGGCCCCAACAGAGGCCCCAACAGCTTCCAAAATGGCCCCAAAGAGGCCTCGAGCCCGCCTCCGAGCTTCCTCGTCGCCGCGACTTCCCCAGACACTTCCAAAAGGCCTCACAAAAGGGTCCCGAGTGGTCAAAATCGTTTCTTGTCCTACGCTTTCCCAAAGATTTCCCGCTTGCCGCCAATCCAGCTTTCGGACACTCGAAGCAGCTCTGGAAGACTTCAAGGCCACCCCAAAAGGACCCAAAACGCCCCCAGGAGGCTCCCAAGAGGGCCCCAAGACGGGCCAAGACCGCCCCACCACGGCCCAAGGCGCGCTGAAGACGGCCCAAGACAGCTCCAAGACGGCTCCACGAGGGTGCCAACACGGCCCCAGACGGGCCCAGGACGGCCCAAGGCTCGCTCAAGACGGCCCAAGACGACTCCAAGACGGTCCCAGGAGGGTGCCAACACGGCCACAGATGGGCCCAGGCGGCCAAGGAGGCGCCCGGTCGGGGCCTCAAGACGGGCCAAGATGGCAAGAGAGCCCCAGCTGGCAAAAATCGTTAATTTTCCATTGTTTATTGTTACACCCTTTGCGTTTCCCGCCATTTCGGCGGTCCGATGCCCCAAGAGGCCCCAGAAAGTCCCAGGAGGGTCCGAGGAAACGCCCAGGAAGGCCCCAAGACGGGCCAAGACGGACCCAGCACAACCCAAGGCGCGCTGCGACGGCTCAAGACGGCTCCAAGACAGCCCCAAGAGGGTGCCAACACGGCCCCTGCTGGGCCCAGGACGGCCCAAGGAGGCGTACAGGAGGGGCCCAAGACGACTCCAAGGCGGCCCCCTCACGGCCCCAGACGGCTCCAAGACAGCCCCACGATAGTGCCAACAAGGACCCCGATGGGCCCAGGACGGCCTACGGACGCGCCCATGAGGGGCCCACGCAAAACCAAGACGGCCCCATCACGGCAAACGGCGCCCTCAAGACGGGCCTAGACGGCTCCAAGACGGCCCTTAAAGGGAGCCAACGCGGCCCCACACCCTTCTGGCGAACACTTGGGGGGGCTGGGAGCTTGCGACAAGTCTCCCACATTCATTGTCCTGCCCCATTCTGTTCGCCTGGAGGCCTCCTCCAACCCTGTGGGCGAACAAGAGGAAACCCAGCGGGCCGCCAACCCTGGGGCCCGTGGGCCCCGCGCCGCTTGGGCAGAAGACGAACGCCGGGTCTGACAGGCCAGCTACCGCCCCCCTTTGCCCGATATGCTGTGCCATTCTGTTCCCCCAGGGGCCTTGGCAAACTCTTCGGGCCAACCAGACCGGACCCCTGGGACAGCAGCCAATTGATATGACCCAGGGACCTCTCCGCACTCTTCGGACGAGCACCTGGGGGGACCAGGAGATTCGGACAAGTCTTCCCAATTCCTTGCCCTGTCCCGTTCTGTTCGCCCGAAGGCCTCCACAGACCCTCTGGGCGAACAGAATGGGACATGGCGAACAAACCCTCCCGTTGGCGGCGATGCGACTGGATCGCACCATCAAGGCGTGCCCGGAGGTGATGGCCGACCCAACAGCGGTTTCTTTCAATATTTAACTGAATTTCAAATTTTCTTGAAGCTCTCTGGGGCCCTCCGTGTAGATCCTTGCGAGCCTCCCCGGCGCTTTCGGTGGCTTTCTTCGATGGCCTCCCGAGCCCTTCCCCGGGCGCTCCTGAGACGCCTCAGATGGGCTTCGACTTCGACGCACATCCCCGAGAGACTTCGAAACTGCCCTCAATATCAGGGGGTGAACGAGCAGTGCTCCGGGCCAAGCTGCTGGAGCGCTGCAAGAGCTCGGACACGAAGGCGCGGTCTCGCTGCCGCCGCCCGAGCCGCCGCCGTGTTTGTAGATTTTCGGTACAATCTGCGCTGTTCCTCCGAGAACCATTCCGGAAAGATGTCGTGGACGGAGTCCACGGGTCAGCCCTAGTCTCTTCTACAATGCAGCGACCTGTGCGTGCGAGAAGGGTCTCTGTCTTGAAAGTTGGTTCCGGCCCCAAAACGGCTCAGGGGGGGTCCAGATGCCCCCAAAATGGCTTCAGACGGCTTTGGGACGGCTCCGAGAGGCTCCAGGGGGCGCCAAGACGGCTTCAGAGCACACCTGGGAGCCCCAAGGCAGCCCCAGAGGCCCCGAAGGCAAGCCAGGAGGCTCCCAAGACGGCCCAGGAGAGCCTCCAGGAGAGTCCCAAGAGGCCCAAGTCGTCCCATTCCATGTGGGAAACGCACATTGTGCTATGTTTTTTTTTTTTCGTCCCCACAGCGTCCAAGACGGCTAGACATCAGCTACAGCGCTGCGATCAGCGCGTGCCAGGAAGGCGATCGGTGGCAGAGAGCTCTGTCGCTGCTCAGAGAGATGCTCTTCACGATATTGCACCCCGACGTCTTCGTTTATGGAATTGTAGTCAGCATGTGCGAGCAAGGCGGGCACATGATGTTGGTGCAGTCGTTGGCAAGGGAGATGTGCGGCGCAATGGAAGCGGAATGACGTAGTCAGCGCAATTATGCCGGGCCCAGTCTGAGCATGAGAAATGTCGGCAGCGAACTTCGCGATTCCGCGGAGCAGCACCCCCTCCCGCATACCCACTCCTGGGCTGGTCCGACCGAACTCCCAGGGCGCCCGTTGACGGCCCCGATAAGTCAAAGAGAGGATGTGGAGAGGACGCGACGATCCCCCTTGGGAGCTCCAAGGGGTCCACAATAGATCCCCACAGGATCCGAAAAAACATGAACTCCAGGGAGCTTTTACTTGCTTCGGCCCTCACGGCCTCTTCTCGTCGACGGTCTTCGCAAAGTTTCCAGGAAGTTCCAGAAGGCCCCAAACGACCACACCATGCACTCCCAGGAGGCCCCAACATGGCCAAGGTGAAGGCCCCAATAACGCCCTTAAAGGCCCCTACGGATAACATCAAAGTATCTGATCGGTCCTCCTCCTTTTCTCCTTGTCCTCCTGCTCTCATCCTCCTCGTGACGGGCCCATGTGCGCCCAAGACAGCTCAATGGAATCCCAATATCGCCTGCAAATCGCCCCTGACTGCCCCAGCACGGTCCAAGAAAGCTCCGACGGTCCCTGCAGAGCTGCAAGACAGCCCTATTGACCACCCCTCGACCACCCCACACGGTCCAATACAGCCAGGGCTGCCCCAAGAAGGTCGCCACAGTGCCCCAGACGGTCTCAGCAGGCCCAAGGGACCCCAAGACGCGTGCAAAGATGCTCCCAGGTTGCCTCGTCGTGGTCCCAGCACCCGCCGAGGCGGGCCCGACACCCCGATATGCTCTCCTGGAGGCCCGACGACGGACCCGACGACGATCAAAAGAGGCCTCTGAGAGGCGAAAGCACTGAACGTCCTTGCGGATCGAATGCTGCTAGCCTCCTTGCTTGCCTGGCCTTGGCCTGGCCCAGATGGTCCCAAACCGCTTCAAGACAAGTTCAAGATGGCTTCCAGACCGTCCCAAGACCGCGGCCCAGGAGGGCCCAGCACGGCCACAAGGAGGCCCAGCACAGGCACAAGCCAGCCCCGAGTCCCTCTCTTCGGGCCCCGTTTCCTCTGAACCCCGTCCATTGCACCCAGGAGTCCTGGGCAGCATGTCCATCTGCCTGCCATGAGTTTCGTCCACGGGGCCACCCTAGTCAGCTACACCGCCGGGATCAGCACGTGCGAGAAGGGTAGGCAGTGGCAGCGCGCTGTGGCGCTGCTCGGCGAGATGCGGGAGGCGAAGCTGGAGGCCAACGTCATCAGCTACAGCGCTGGGATTAGCGCGTGCGAGCTGGGCAGGCAGTGGCACCGGGCGCTAGCGCTGCTCAGTGAGATGCGAGAGGCAAAGCTGGAGCCCGACGTCATGGCCATCAGGATGCTGCTATCAGTGCGCGCGAAACATGCACACCAGTGGCAATGGAGCTGCTCCCGCCCCGGGTCGCTCCGACCAGGCCTTAAGAGCCACCATGGTTGCCTCGAGAGCGGACCCAGACGGCCTCCCCCAAAAGCAATCCGCGAGGCAATCCACGGACAATCCGCAGCAATCCGCGGCAATCCGCGCTACCTGAAAACGAAATCTGCGGTCCCTTTTCCCTGCGCCAGGAGTGTGTTTGGAGGAGCCGCTCGCTCTGAGACCGCCCAAGATGCCCCCAACACAGCCCAAGAGGCTCCCATGATGCCCTCAGACAGCTCCAACAGTGTCTCCAGACGGCCTCCATGTGCAAAATTGTTTGATTCCTCGTGGGTTTTTTGATGGTTCTCGCGATTTCGCCTTCTCAGGCCTCAGGCAGCCCACGGCGATCCAAGGGGCCTCCCAGATCGTCCCAAGACGAAGACTGGCCCAAGAGGCCCCCAAGAAAGGTCCCAGACTGTACAGGAGAGTCCGAAGCAGCCAAAGACGGTTCCAGGAGCCCCAGGGCCCCAAGAGGGTGTCCAAGCGGCCACAAGGGAAACCAGGGAGATGCCCGAGGGAGCCTCAACATGGGGCCCACAACGGCCTTGGAAGCTGTCATTTGGGAGGCTCTTCAGAGTGAAGGATCAGAGAGCCCTTCTGGGCCCTGGAGCTCTCAGGGATCTGGCCGGACGGCTGTGGAGTGCCCCGGGTGGCCACAGCGAAGCCAAGAGAGGCCCGAGAGAGCCCCGCGAGGGGCCCGCGGCGGCCCTGGGAGCTGTCCTTCGGAAGCCTGCTCGGCGTGACGGATCGGAGAGCCCTCATTGGGCCCTCCGGAGGCCTGCCTGAGCCCGGGACATCGCGCGAGCACAGCCCGTAGGTTCTTCGACCGCCAGGTTCTTCTTCGAGGGTTCCTCGACCACCCACTGACGTCGGATCCCCGACGACGACGACGACGACGACGACGACGACGGCGAGGGCGCGGGCGAGAGCGAGGACGAGGACGATGAGAGTAGGAGAGCAGGAGGACCCGACGCCGACGAGCAAATGCGGCGAGGATGCAGAGGACGCACCCCAGAGTGATCTCTCCATGCGTTCTCACGTCGGGCACACCGCGTGCGGAAAGGCAGCGTGCTCGAGCGGCCACACCTCGGCCCCGCTGGCCCCGTCGCGCCCTCGGGAGGCGGCCCGCGAGGGCCCGAGGGCGGCCCGAGAAGGCTCCAAGAGGCCCCCCTAAGAGGGCCCCGAGATGCCCAAAGCTTCCCGGAGGTTTTTGGGGCATTTGGACTTTCTCGCCCTTTCAAGACGGCCTCCGACACGCCAGGACGGCCCAAGACACCGCAAGTATCGCCGCAGGACGGACAGGCCCCAAAGAGGGCCTCAGACGGCCCAAGAGGGCCCCAAGAGGACCCCAAGAGGGAGAGCTCGAACTGACATGTCGCGCCCTCCGCCCCAGATGTCCCCCGAGGCCCCCCAGCAGCCACAGAAGGCCTCCCAAAGAGGCCCAGATCGGGCCCCCAGAGGCTCCCCAAGAGGCCCCCGAGAGGCTCCCCAAGACCCCCCCCACAAAACCACTTCCAAGGGGCCTCCGAGGGAAGATGCCTTGCACTGCTCTGGGACCGCGCCGGCCCTCCAGGAAAATGACCCAGACCAGACAATTGGCGTTTACTGAACGGCCCTGGGCGTTTACTAGACAGCCCTGCCCTGTTCGATTTCTTCTTTGGGCGCGTTTACGAAACGACTTCGCGTGTCGGGGTGGTTCTTACGGGGGTGTTTCTTTTAATTGCAAAACAAGGCACCCGTGCGCTTTTGTTTTCCACGGCCGCGGGGCCCAGGTCTCCGGCGCTCCAGTTCCTTCGGCCCTGAGCAGGGGAGCTCTGGGGAGGCCCTGCCCTCGCGGAGCCGAACCTCGCCCTCTCGAGGGCCCCTTGGCATCGCTCGGACGTGTGCGTTTTCCTCCCTTCTCTGAGGTGGAGGGCTTCTCCGAAGGGCTTAGGCGACCCGTCCTCCTCCTCCTCCTCCTCCTCCTCCTCCTGCTCCTCCTCCTCCTCCTCCTCCTCCTCCTCCTCCTCCTCCTCCTCCCCCTCCTCCTCCTCCTCCTCCTCCTCCTCCTCCTCCTCCTCCTCCTCCTCCTCCTCCTCCTCCTCCTCCTCCTCCTCCTCCTCCTCCTCCTCCTCCTCCTCTACTCCTTTTTTTCTTGTTGGTACGGTCGCTCCTCCCCCTGCTCCTCCTCCTCCTCCTCCTCCTCCTCCTCCTCCTTCCGTAGCCATTTTGGCTCAAGTACCAATCCCGCGCGCGCGCAGCCCCGGGACCCGAGCGGCGACTCTGCAGGCGCGGAGGCCATGCAATGTTGATGCAGCTGATGTTCTTGTCCACGTTCTTCTACACTGCAATTGCGGCGATGTTGACGGCTTCCGGTGCTACACCATGGTCGACCTCTGCTGCAAGCGCGGCGACACCTCCCTCTACATCCTCTCATCGTGTGTCGAACATTCTTCGTCCCCGTGGGCGTCGTTCACTCGCTGCTCTTGATGCTCGTCGGCGCCGCGCCGTGGCTAAGGGTCTCCTTCGGCCGCATGCTGGTCCCGACCTGGTTCATATTGCTGTTCAGCGGCTGTCGCCCGCGAGTCGAAAATCCTGGCGCTGGCGACGGACAACGTGCGCAAGCTTGAGGCCAAGTCTGGGCTCCACAGGCGCAACGGCTCCGAGCTCTGCGCGGCGGCTTCTGCTGGTGGCCACATCACCCCACAGGAGGAGCAGGAGTTCTAGTTCTGGAACACGGCGGGCAACATCGCTCGCTACAAGCGCTGGACTCCGTCACCATGGCCCCCCTCTTCGTGCACCCCTGCGCCGCCGTCAGCGACTGCCTCGCGGCCATCGCCTTCCAAGCGCATCAGCTGGGCGGACACTTTCGACACCGACTTCCCCGTGCTGCGCCCGCTGGTCGAGGCCTCCCAGGCCCATCCAAAGTGCAATGTGGATAACCCTGCGGGCGATCCACGTTCCACCCATCCAGGTGCGGCCGACCAGCCCGAGTCCATCATCAAGCACGCGACCGTCTCCTCCGACTCGGCCGCGACCGCCACGCACAGGGAGCTCGAGGCGCTTACCTTGGACAGCGTCTTCCACACATTCGAGAAGTGATCCTTCGACAAGCTAGACGACAAGCTTCTCGCGGGTTTCGAGCTTTTGTCGGCCTCCCACGCCAAGCAGCTGCCCGCCCTGTTCGCTACCTCGATCAAGCCCGTCATGGACTCCTTCGAAAGTCAGGTCGCCAAAGAGATCAACGACATTCGCTCCGAGCTCAGTGCCGCGTACGACTCGCACATCCTGACCGTCGACATCCGCCATATTGCTGATGAAGTTCACGCGGCTGCAGCTGACGCAAGTCCTGCGGCAGATGAAGCTCACTGTCGCCTATAAGCCACTCGCCGAGCAGCTGACGAAGCACGCCGCGTGGTAGAACTCGTTCACACTGCTGCTGCTGCTGACGTTCGCCTCTCGGTCGCAGAAGCTCGCTCGCATCCAACTGAGCTGCAGACGCAAGTCACCCAGCTGGGGCTGCGCGTCAACAACCTGAAGAAAGAAATCCTGGACACGTTCGACCAGAGGTTGAAGCACACCGGAGTGGACACCGAAGAGATGCAGCAGCATATCGACTCCATTGAGCAGCACGTCCAGCACCTGCAAGGTCACGAGCCGCTCTTCGACTGCCGCGACAGCTCGGGGCACTTCGATAGCTACTTCGACACCCTCTTCGCGAACATCAAGGGGTGCGACTGCTGCGCCGACTTCGAGAGCATCCTGCACACGCAGAAGCCGTTCATACAGCCCGACACGCTGAGCGAGCCTCACGTGCTCATGCCGAGCGAGACCGACGAGCTGTTGCCTGACGAAATGTTCATGCCGTATGGTCCTGACCTTCAGCCCGCTCGTGGTCACAACCTGCCCGACCCGCTGAGCGAGTCCGACGAGCTCACGCCGAGCGAGACCGACGCGCTGATGCACGACGAGATGTTGATGCCGACTGGCCCTGACCGTCAGCCCCCTCGCGGTCACAGCCCGCGCGATGTCTGCTGGACTCCTTCGGGTGACCGAGTGCACGTCGACGTTCCTCATGCTGCCGATGACCGTCCCACTGATGATCGGCATGATTGGGCTTTTCCTGACACGCCGTATGTACCTTCGCCGCTCGGACCTCATGCAAATCCGCTGCTGCTGTACGTCACTCGCTGCCCTTGCAGACGGGCTGGTGTGCCGAGCTCTCGCGCTGCAACCTGCGGCGTCTTCACCACCAAGTACTACATCCACTTCCGCTCCTCGCGTGTCAGGCCCCGTGCTCACCGCAGCACGCGCGCTGCCTGTGCGCTCGAGCGGCGCTACTGTCCCGCCTTTTCCTGCTTTTCAGAATGCTCTGAATGACAACAAAATGAAGCCTACGAGCGCACACTCCTCGGAACTGGCTGCAGCGAGTAGCGCAACCACAAAGTTACAATACTAGTAGAAGAGTTGTAGCGCAGCTGGCAGTGAGCAGGAGCGAACATTTTGCCCTCTTCTCGCTTCTTGTCCGCTTGTCCTCGTCTCTTCTCTTTCACAGTACTCCTCCTCCTCCCCCTCCCTCCTCCTCCTCCTCCTCCTCCTGCTCCTCCTCCTCCTCCTCCTCCTCCTCCTCCTCCTCCTCCTCCTCCTCCTCCTCCTCCTCCTCCTCCTCCTCCTCCTCCTCCCCCCCTTCTTCTCGTCCTCCTCCTCCTCCTTCTTCTCCTCCTCCTCCTCCTTCACGGGTCGCCTGCGGCCCAGGGGGGAATCGTGCACTCAGAGGCGGCTCCGGGTCGCCTGCGGCCCAGGGGGAAACCGCGCACTCTGAGGCGGCTCCGGTCTGAGTGGGCGACCCGTCGGGGAGTGCCCCCCGCGAGTGCTCCAGGCCCGCTGGCCAGCGGGGGCGCGCCCTGCAGTGTCTTGCGCCTCCTTCCGAGCCTGCGCAGCCCGCGCGCCTCCTCCGCCCTCGTCGGACGGCCACAGCCATTATTCGGGGGGGAGAAAGGGTATCAATGTCACTCCGCCGCGGGGGGCTCCAGGGCCCCATCGGCGTGTTACTCCTTCTCTCCTCGTCCGAAAAAGACAACGCAGACAGTAACGCGCCGATGGGGCCTTGGGGGCCCCCGCGGCGGCGTGACATGGATACTCTGTCGCCCCTTCCGCGTTATGGAACATCATTGGAAATAAGGTGCGCGTGCCCAAGACGGCCCAAAACGGCCCCAAGACGGTCCGAGCTGCGCCCAAGACGGCCCCACACGGCCCCAAGACGGCCCAAGAAGCATTCAAGACGGCCCCAAAGGGACCCAAGGGATTCCCGGGAGGCCAGAAAGAGGCCCCCAAACCGCCCCCAAGAGGCCCTAAGTGGTTTCCACTTTGCCTCTAAGAGGGGGGGTCGGACGAGAGGCGAGGGCCGGACCGCATGCCCAAAAGAGCTGTTTTCAACGCTCTGGGGCCCTTCCATGTTTGTCTTTTGGGGAGCGGTCCAGCGCGCCCCTGAACGCTCGGGGAGCCCTTCGGGCGCTCCGGACCCTTGGAGTCTCCCCAGATGGCGCCATGAGGGCCCCACACGGTGCCATGAGGACCCCAGACGGTTCTTGCACGCTCTGGGAAGCCCCACAGAGCGTCCACGAGGCCCCTCCAATGTGCACGACCCGACCCAAACGAGCGCCAAGGCGCTCCGAGAGGCCTCCAAATGCCTCACAAGAGGGTCCCGAGAGGTCAAAATCGTTTGTTGTCTTGGGCTTTTCCAAAGACTTCCCGCTTGCCGCCAATTCAGCTTTCGGACACTCAAAGCAGCCCTGGAAGATTTCAAGGCCACCCCCAAAAGGACCCAGAGCCCCCAGGAGGCTCCCAGGAGGCTCCCAGGAGGGCTCCAAGACGGGCCAAGACCGCCCCAGCACGGCGCAAGGCGCGCTGAATACGGCCCAAGACGGCTCTAAGACGGCTCCACGAGGGTGCCAACACGGCCCCAGACGGGCCCAGCACGGCCCAAGGCACGCTCAAGACGGCCCAAGACGACTCCAAGACGGTCCCAGGAGGGTGCCAACACGGCCACAGATAGGCCCAGGACGGCCCAAGGAGGCGCCCAGTCGGAGCCTCAAGACGGGCCAAGATGGCAAGAGAGCCCCAGCTGGCAAAAATCCTTTATTTTCCATTGTTTATTGTTACAGCCTTTGCGTTTCCCGCCATTTCGGCGGTCGGATGCCCCAAGAGGCCCCAGAAAGTCCCAGGAGGGTCCGAGGAAACGCCCAGGAAGTCCCCAAGACGGGCCAAGACGGCCCCAGCACAACCCAAGGCGCGCTGCGACGGCTCAAGACGGCTCCAAGACAGCCCCAAGAGGGTGCCAACGCGGCCCCTGCTGGGCCCAGGACGGCCCAAGGAGGCGCACAGGAGGGGCCCAAGACGACTCGAAGGCGGCCCCCTCACGGCCCCAGACGGCTCCAAGACAGCCCCAAAATAGTGCCAACAAGGACCCCGATGGGCCCATGACGGCCTACGGACGCGCCCATGAGGGGCCCACGACGAACCAAGACGGCCCCATCACGGCAAACGGCGCCCTCAAGACGTGCCTAGACGGCTCCAAGACGGTCCTTTGAAGGAGCCAACACGGCCCCACACCCTTCGGGCGAACACTTGGGGGGCTTGGAGCTTGCGACAAGTCTCCCACATTCATTGTCCTGCCCCATTCTGTTCGCCTGGAGGCCTCCTCCAACCCTGTGGGCGAACAAGAGGAAACCCAGTGGGCCGCCAACCTTGGGGCCCGTGGGCCCCGCGCCGCTTGGGCAGAAGACGAACGCCGGGTCAAACAGGCCAGCTACTGCCCTCCTTTGCCCGATATGCTGTGCCATTCTGTTCCCCCAGGGGCCTTGGCAAACTCTTCGGGCCAACTAGACCGGACCCCTGGGACAGCAGCCAATCGATATGACCCAGGCACCTCTCCGCACTCTTCGGACCATATACCCTGTGGGCGAGCAGAATGTGACTTGGCGAACAAACCCTCCCGTTGGCGGCGATGCGACTGGATCGCACCATCAAGGCGTGCCCAGAGGTGATGGCCGACCCAACAGCGGCTTCTGTTAAGATTTTACTGAATTTCAAATGTTCTTTCAGCTCTCTTGGGCCCTCCCTGTAGATCCTTGCGCTCCCCGGCGCTTTTGGTGGTTTTCCCCGATGGCCTCCCGAGCCCTTCCCCAGGCGCTCCTGAGACGCCTCAGATGGGCTTCGACTTCGACGCACATCCCCGAGAGACCTCGAAACTGCCCTCAAGGAGGGGGGTGAACGAGCAGTGCGCCGGGGCCAAGCTGCTGGAGCGCTGCAAGAGCTCAGACACGAAGGCGCGGTCTCGCTGCCGCCGCCCGAGCCGCCGCCGTGTTTGTAGATTTTCGGTGCAATCTGCGCCGCTCCTCCGAGAGCCATTCCAGAAAGATGTCGTGGACGGAGTCCACGGGTCTGCCCTAGTCAGCTACAACACTGGGATCAGCGCGTGCGAGAAGGGCGAGCAGTGGCAGCGGTCTCTGGCGCTGCTCAGCGAGATGTGGGAGGCGAAGCTGGAGCCCAACGCCATCTATACTACAACGCCGGGGGCGCCGCGTGCCAGAATGACGCAGGACAAAGTGACTCAAAACCGTCCCAGGCCCGGCGCGCCCCCAGGCGGCTCGAGCTGGACCCAGGACGGCCTAAGGTTCCGCAAGACAGTCCAAGAGGAGCCGCAGAGGGCTCCAAAAGCGGCTCAAGACGGCCCAAGACGGCCCCAAGGCAGCCCAAGAGGCGCCCATTTGGCCCCAAGACTTTTCCAGAGGCTTCCAAGACGCCCTATGAGGCCTCCAAGAGGATTCTGAAGACGGCCTCGTCCAAATTCCTGAAGTTGGCATTTCCGCCTGGATCGTATCCACGGAGTCCAAAACGCCCTGCAGGCCTCCGAGAGTCCTCCAATAAGCTCCAAAATGGGCCCCTTGGCGGCGCCAAGACGGCCTCAGACGGACCTGGGACGGCTCAAGGGGCACCCGAGACATCTCCAAGAGCGGCCCAAGATGGCCCAAAACAGGCCCAAGACGGGTCAATAGGTACCCAAGAGGCGCCCAAGACGGCCCCAGAAGGCCATAAGACGGCCCCAAAGGCACCCAAGACGGCCCAAGAGGGCCCCCAAAGCTCCCCAGGGGGCCGAAAGAGCCACAAGAGGCCCCCAAACGGCCCCCAGGAGGCCCTAAGTGCCGTCACAATTGCCTCCAAGAGGGGGTGCTTGACGAGAGGCGAGAGGCATTTCTCAGACCCAAGCGAGCCGTGTTCGACGCTCCGAGCGCCTGGGATGTTTGTCTTGTGGGGAGCATCGTCGTCGGATCGACGACCGACGGTCGAAGATCGAGGGGATGAGGAAAGGAGGAGAGGAGGAGGTCCAGGAGGAGGTGGAGTGCGCGCTCAACTGGGCGCCGTGGCGAAGGGTGCCGACTGCATGGACGCGTGGCAGACCGCCCGCATGCCCGCCCGCGTGGAGTGCATGCTTCTCAGTCAGATACAGCAGTACGCCCTGGTTCTCCCTCTGCCTTCGTTGTGTTCGTCTTTCGTTTTTCATTGCTTCTGCAGCCTTCTGATTTTCTCGTTCCTATGGGCTCCCCGGGCTCGGCTCATCACAACGGGATCGGGGTTCCAACACCACTCAGGGACAGCCCTTCCTTCTCCTCCTTGTCTGACGGCGGCGACCTCCTACAGTCAGTTACGTTGTCGAGCTTGCCCTTGCGTTCTTGTCAGGTCGGCCCTTTGGCTTCGCTTTCGCAGCCGCGATTTGTGAACATGGTCGTTCAAGGTCATTGCATCCAGTCGTTGCGTCCCCGCTCCTTGAATTTCGCAGTCCAGGCTCAGAGGCTTCAGAGTCCGTTCCGGCAACCTCGGAAGATAGAGCACCCGTGCCTCTCTTGTCTTCTTTCCCGCTCGCGGCAGTTCCTGTCCGCGTGGGTGTCCAGTATAGAAGTATCCCCGGCTCATCGCCGTATTCTTTCCTTCTGAGGCAGCTTCGGAGGGAACGAGGTTTCATCCGACGAAGATTTCTCGCAGGGGTTTGTGCCAGCGTGCTACTGGGCGTCTGCGTCGGCCACCGCGGAAAATATAGCGCTCATGCTGCCCTCCTTATCCTATCGCTTCCAAGTCTACCCCTTCGAATGTGAGGTCCATCGAAGAGTCCTGCCTGCTTCCTCGCATTTCTTGCGCGTGCGACTCCTGATCACGACCGCGCGGCCGAGAAGGCGTGGCGTCCGCTGCGCATTTGCCTCGAGCAGCGCTGCCGCGCTGACGCCGTGCGCCTGCCGAAAGGCTTCTGGTGGGCGGGGCGGCCTCCCTGGGAGGCCGCGGCGCCCCGAGGAGGCCCCCAGGGCCCAGCGCTGGTTCCGGCCATCAAGAAGTGGGGGAAAGGGGGCCTTTTTCGTCCTCTTTGGACCTCTTGGGGGCTTTTCGGCGCTCCAGCGGGGCGCGGCTCGACGAAGTAGTGCGTTTGGATCCCGAGAGGGGTCTGGGCGCCGTTTGTGAGCGGGTTTGGCATTGCGTATGCCCGCCTCTTAGCCGTCTCGCTCGGGGCCCATGCAGCGCAGGCTCGTGGCCGCCTCCAACTTGGGATGAGATCGGACCGCCCTGCTCATTTCCGTCTGCGCGGCAGAGTCCAGAACCACCTGGGCGCCCCCTATCCTTTCCCTGCACCCCCGCCACAGCGTTAGCTTCCGAGGTCGTGCGAGCTTCCCTGGCGCTCCTCTCCGTAGCCCGTATTCGGCTTCCCAAGCTCCGCGCGTGCTGCGCTGCGCGCGTGGTGCGTGCTCGTATCCACGGCCTCTTGGTTTTCCTCGGCCGCGACCCCGGGTATTCCAGGCGGCTTGGCGCGGAAATCCCGTGCGGAACGTATCCATGGGATATCGTGTCCATGGGGCCGCGCCTCGGAGTCCAGACCGCGGGGGCACGGATATGTCGGATGCGACTTCTTGCCCCCAGCGCACGAGTTTTCCCAGAAGCATTGGCCGCTGAGAACAGAAGCTAGTTTCGAGGATGCACCCGCAGGGGGCGGGTATTCGGATGCACCTCTGTCGGGGATGGCCGTCCCCCATCGGAGGGCACCCAAACTACACATCTGCGCCGATCCTGGCCGAGCCAATCCGAGGCCCAGGATCGGTATATGTGTATGTATGTATGTGTATATATATATATATATATATATATATATATATATATATGTATATGCCCCCTAATCCCAGGCAGAAGGGCGTACACGCCGATCGTGGGCCCAGGGTGATCCCAGCCAGGGTCGGTGTTGGCGTATAGTTGGTGCCTTCGTACCCAATCGTATATCCGCGAGTTGGGTCCCAAATCCTGTGGCCCATCGGCAGTCTCGCTCTATCGGCGGTTGGGGTCACCAAGCTTCTTGGTGCTATACGGGCGCTCGTGATGAGTTCAGCCGGGAGACGCCTCCAATCCTCGACGCACTCCGAGCGGACACTTGGGAGGCAGGGGTCCGCCGCATTTGTTCCTACGTTGCAGCGCCTCCTTCGATATTTAGCATATCATGGGAGCCTGGTATACCCTTTTGATTCCGTCTTTAGCATCTTTTGGCGTCGATCTATTAGCGTCGATTCGCGTCGATTCGCAAGAGTCGCCAAAATGGTACTGGAGGCCCACATGAGTTGCCACGGAAGCCTCCTGCGTGCCAGAAGGACCTGTGTTTCAACGGGGGTTTTCCAGGATCTTGCGGGCCCGGGCTAAACAACAGAAGGCCTGAGCATTCCAGGGCGGCCTAAGAGAGCCCCAAAGCTTTCCAATGTGGTCCGAGACGCCTCCGGGCGGTTCAAAAAGGTCGCCAATATGGCTCGCAAAGCGGCCCAGCATGGCCCCAAGATGGCCCACGAGAGCTTCACGTGGCCCCCCAAGAGGACTCCAAGATGCGAACATCATTGATGTTCGTCATATGTTAAAAACGAATTTTGACGTTCTCGCTTTTTTCTGACTTCCAACGCCCCAAGACCAAGACGGACGGCCTTCAGGCCCCCCAGAGGGCCCCCTGATAGCCCAAGAGGGCCGCAAGACGGCCCAGGAGGCTTTCAAGACGGCCCATGACATCTCCAAGAGGAACCCAAAAGATCCCCAGGAGGGTGTGCTCGAACTGACATGTCGCATTTTTCCTTTTGAGAAGCCCCGGGATCGCCAGCGGGCCCCAAAGAGGACCTTCAGAACTCCCAGGAGGTCCAAATCAGACCGCCCCAAGAGGACCTTCAGAACTCCCAGGAGGCCCAAATCAGACCCGCAGAGGCCCCAAAGGGGCCCCGAGAGGCCCCTTAGAAATCCCCACAACCGCGTCCAAGAGGCGTCCGAGGGAAGATCCCGTAGCGAGCTGCCACCCAAAATTCCATGAGCGACCCAGGAGGAGACCAGATGTTCGGCCACAAGCGCGCCGAGGCCATTGATACATTCGTGTGCTGGCCGCTTCTCGTGCCTCCCCTCGCTCCTCGCTCCTCGCTCCTCGCCGCCCTCTCCTGGTTTCCTCGCCTCTCTCTCTCTCTCTCTTCGCTCCTCGCTCCTCCCTGCTCGCTTTTGATTGCTGCTCCCACCTCTCTCCTGGCCCCACGCCTCGCCTCTGTCTCTCTCGAGGCTCGAGGCTCGAGGCTCCCGACTCGCCCAGGCCGTGCTCGCAGCGAGATCGGGAGGCGGACGCGCGCTCTCAGGGGGGTGCTTTCACCCTGCCAGGGGACAACACATTGCCAGAGAGAGTTTTCGTGCCACGGCAGCGTGCCCTCACACTGCCGGGGAACGAAACATTGCCAGAGAGAGTTTTCGTGCCCTCGCCGGCGTGAGCACAACACGGGAAACCGCGCACCTCGCACCCGCCACAGAGCACCGAACGCAACTGACAACACGCCCCTCGGCGCCCGCCCACGGGCCTCGCCGAACATGTCCTGCCCGATTCATTGTCCGATCCTGGAGGAGGAGGAGGAGGAGGAGGAGGAGGAGGAGGAGCAGGAGGAGGAGGAGGAACACTTCCTGCCAGTTTCAATGTCCGATCCTGCTCCCCAGAAGCCTTCGGGCGTCTCGTGCGACGAGTCATCCCTGTACACAGCGAGTAAACGGCGAGCGCAGGTATGAGCTTGTTTTGCGCCGCAGCTCCTCTTGCTGTGTCCATTCAGGACCGAGCAGCCCCACAGCGACGCCCGAAACACCAAACCCGACGCACGGGATCGCAAGCCGTACGCCACGTCGCACCGCAAGCAAACGCGCCGACACCTCCACAACATTCCACCAAGACCTGAGCACACATCCACGCACCCGCAGTGAACGCACAACAGGGCTCGCATGCTCGGCATGCTCACCCTTACATTTCCCGCGCCCCGCACCCAACGCAGTCCGCCGACCACCCGCCGAAGCGGTCGCCTAAATATTCTGGCCTCTTCTTTGCCCAGCCCGCGCACTACCCTTTCGGAGGCGGTGCCCGACATCCCACGTGATCTTGGTTGCCACCGAGCAGACGAGCAAGCGCCGAAGTAACCAAGCAAGCAAGCAGGCAAGCCGGCAGGCATGGGACTAGGGACGCTGGCCAGCATGCAAACAGGAACGCTTGGTATAGAGTTGCTTGGGCAGCAGGCTAGCAGCCATGTGCGCAGGGCAGCGCGCAAGCATGACAGCAGGCACGCGGTTTCCACACCTGCGTGCGAAACAGCTGTCGTGGTCGCAAAGTCCACGGGTCCGCCGTAGTGAGCCACATCGCTGCGACCTGCGCGTGTGAGAGATGCGGCCGGTGGCGGCATGCGTTGTGGCTGATCAGCGACATGCGGGAGTGCAATGTGGAGACGAACGAAGTCAGTTACAGCTTGTGCATCACAGCTTACGAGAAGTCGTCTCGCAACTCGCAAGGAGTCCCAGGCTTTCTTGTGATCAGTCTTTCGCGTTTTCGCGTGTCTCGCGAAGCACTGTGCGTGTGGGAACCTGCTGGCAAACCACTGTGACTACGTGGACGGACATCCACATTTTGAATTTGACCGGTTTCCATCGCGCGGGAATCTGCTTTGGATGACATTCCGCGGATCCGCCTTGCTTGGCTACAGCGGTGAGATCAGCACTTGAGAGAGAGAGAGAGAGAGAGGCGTGCAGTGAAAGCGGATCAATCCGCTGCTCCGCGAGATATTGATTGCGAAGCTGGAGCAACATGTCGACAGCTGCTCAGCGGGTTGCGGGATGCGATGTCGGAGCTCAAGGCCATCTGTACCAATTCTGCGCGAATCGCGTGCCAAGTATGAACGTAATGTGCTAGCTCCTGGGTCCCCCCACACTGGCCCAGGATGTCCCAAGGACACCCCAAGCGGCTCGCAAGGCCCAGTGCCCCGCACGAGGGCCCCAGGTGAGCTCACGACACTCCAAAGAGGGCCCGCGACGTCCAAAGGGGAGGAGTGTCGCCCAGGTGTTCTGTCCGGGCACAAAAAACCAAAAGGGGAGGAGTAAGAGGATCAGGCGGCGGCGGAGGAGGAGGAGGAGGAGGAGGAGGAGGAGGAGGAGGAGGAGGAGGAGGAGGAGGAGGAGGAGGACAGGGTGCCTCTGGGGGCCCCCTGAGGCCGCTCCTCGGGCCTCCCTCCGCGCTTCGCTCTCTCTCTGCTCCTTCCGCTCCTCGCCTTCTTCCTCGGCCCTCGCCGAGCCCTCGTCCCTCCCAGCCCTCGAGCCTGCTTCCTCGCTCCCTGCTCTGCGCTCCTTCCCCTCCCCTCGATCTGCTCGCGCAGGCGGCGTCGGCTACAAAGCCAGCAGGGGCGCAGAGAAGCGACCCCCGGCAGCCTCGAGAGTCTGTGGTTTCGAGGTCTGGGCGGTAGCGGCCGCGATCGGTCCTCTCCCCCCATCCCTCCCTCCCTCCCTCCCCCTGGATCACGTCGCGCTATTTTAGCCACATTTGCAACCACTTCCGACGGATTCTTCGATGACTTCCTGAGACTTCCAGCGGCCCCCCGCCGTGATGTGACCGGGGGGGGCGAACTCCCCCCCCCACCCCCCTCCCCCGATCACGCCAACCATCGCGACAAATCAAAAAAATAATCAATTATCCCAGTGCGACCCTACCTAGGAGTTGGAACCCCTAGGAAAGCAGCATTAGTAGTAACAGTAACGCTAAGCTAAAGCTAAGCTAAAGCTAAGCTACAGCTAAGCTCAAGCTAAGCTCAAGCTAAGCTAAAGCTAAGCTAAAGCTAAGCTAAACGCTAAGCTAAACGCTAAGCGAAAAGCTAAGCGAAACGCTAAACTAAAGCTAAGCTACAGCTAAGCTAAAGCTAAGCTAAAGCTAAGCTAAAGCTAAGCTAAAGCTAAGCTAAAGCTAAAGCTAAAGCTAAAGCTAAAGCTCCCAGGGGACTGGGGGGAACCGCTCCCAGGGGACTGGGGGAACCGCCCGGGGCGTGTTGCACTGCCCGGCCCCTTTAAGCTAAGAGAGTAAGAACCCTTCTAGGCAGAGCCTAGGTAGGGAACAAAAACGGACTCTGAGAAGCAGAAGCAGCGACCAGCAGCAGCACGCAGCCCGCAGCAAGCACCGCCAGCGGCAGCACAGAAACAGCAAGCGGCATGGCACACGCACCAAAACACGCACCGGAGCCGCAGGCAGCAGCAGCAGCAGGGCCGAAGAGTCCGGGCCCAGCGTCAGCACGAGAGCCTTCCCGCAGCAGCTCCGCCCCGAGCCAACGTGCCACGGAGTCAACGGGCCCCCGCGGCGGCGCCTCCTCCTTTTCCTCCTCCTCTTCCTCCTCCTCCTCCTCCTCCTCTTCTTGCTTACCCTTCGGCATCCGATTCCAGAGCTTTCAATGGTTGGACGGGGTCTAATACAGGTCTCCCCTGGGCTTTCGTGAGGTCTCCCCAAGGCTTTCGTGAGTGTTCTGCATGGGGCCCTGCGTGCGCAGATCCAAGAAATCCGCGCGGAGCGCGCAAAGTTTCTGTTATGGCGTTTTCTCTTCTAACCGTGCCGTCTCGGACAAGCCTCGAGGCCCGTTTTCCTCATCGTCGGAGCCATCCACACCCCCACCAGGGCAGGGTAAGTTGGCTCTTCCAGCGTACCCCCTCTAGGTGGGGATGGGCGCTGCGGAACCCGAAAGAGATGGTATCCATCCCCACCTCGGGGGTGGGCAGATTGCTCAGCGGGGCCAAGGTTTCCCCAGTGGGGGTCAGGATTGTGTTTCTCATCCAGAAGTATGCCACGGATCAGCACTAGTCAGCTACAGCGCCGGGATCCGCGCGTGCGAGAAGGGTGGGCAGTGGCAGCGGGCGCTGGCGCTGCTCAGCGAGTTGTGGGAGGCGAAGCGTCGCCTGTGATACAAGCTGGGTCGAAGCGCGTGCTAGAGGGGCGGGTCGTGGAGCTAGCGCATGGCTCCTGGCCGCCCGCCACTCGCTTGTGGGCGTCGTGCCGTTCGTCGCCCACGTCGGTGGTAGCGTGCATGAATGATGTTTTGCATGTCTGGCTTTCCCCAACAAAAAGCCTTTCCCGATGCTCCCAGAGAGGTCCGACACCAGCTCTCTCGATTCTTGATCTTTGACATCGGCCCCCCCAGGACTTTCGGGCACCCAACAGGACATGTCCGTTGCACTTAGGATCAGATCTGAGGGGAGGTAGTGCGGGAGGTGTGGATTGGGAGCATCTTCGCGGAATGCATCAGATCTAAATCCAAATCACCATGAGCCTTGCGCAGTACGTGCAGCGCAGGGGGAGGCGGACCGTCTCCTCACCCTACCATCATAGGAGGGCGCGAGGTCCCTGTAGACGGGACGGGTTGAGCACCAGCTGGCGCTCAGTGCCTTCATTGGCGTCAAACTCACGCGTAGTAGCATGCTTTCCTCTACGCTGGGCTGGGTGTGGTCAGTGTCCGCGTGCATGCAGCATGCGGATGTCGGGGTCAGCGCTCTCATGCACATGCTTCCTCTGGCGCGTGCCCCAAGGGTTCATCCGTCGCGCGCTCTTCCTCTCGACCCGTGGCAGCCAGGGCACGTTGCCAGGCTGTCCCTTGTTTGCTCCTCTTCCTCCCGCCCTTCCTCCCTCCCCATCGTGGCCCCCTGTCTTGGTTTTCGGGTCATAGCTCGGCTCTCCAGCGGCAGCTCGGGACGATCCAGACACCCATTGAACGCTCTCGGCGAAGCGCAGCTGCTGGAGAGCATCCCGAGGCCCGAAAACCCCGAACCTCAAAACTTCTTCCCCTCCCTCCCTCCATCCTCCCTCCCTCCAGCCTCCCTCCAGCTCCCTCCCGCCCCCCCCCCTGCGGGCACGATGTATATCCATATCCAGTGCGTCTTGGAGTTTCGGGCTCCCCTCCACAGACACCCGAGGCGCAGTGGGTATGGATAAGAATCTGGCCCCCCGAGGCTCGATTCTTGGGCACATCCACTGCGCCTCGGCCTTTCGGCGCCCCTCCTCAGAAAGTCAAGGACGCGGCGTTGGTGCGCGTTGGCGTTGGCGCGTCGGCGACGCGGGCGAAGGCGTTCAATGTTGAATTCTGCGACGCGGAAGCACCGAGGGAAGCGGCGACGCCACTGGACCCGACAGAATGCAACCTTGAACGATCGGGGCCGCGATCGATTCAAGGTTGAACGATCGACGCGGTGTCAAGAACCTTTGCGCGCGCCAACGTCGCACGAACCTACCGTAGGGATGGAAACCTTGCCCGCGCCTCCCCTCCCGCCCCCCCTTGCGCGCAAGATGTGCATCCTTATCCAGGGCATCTTGGAGTTTCGGGCTCCCTTACCCAGACACCGGAGGTGGCGGCGGTAATATCTATGGCCGCGTTTTCATCGGTGCTCCACCGGCTTCCAGACCATGGGTCCCTTTGTAAGTCTCCTTGTCCAATGCCCTCACCGTATGGATACGAACCTTGCCCGCGCACCCCTCTTCCTCTTCCTCCCCCTCCTCCTCCTTTTCCTCCTTCCTCCCCCTCTTCCTCCTCCTCCTCCTCCTCCTCCTCCTCCCCCTCCCCCTCTTCCTCCTCCCCTCCTCCCTCCTCCTCCTCCCCCTCCTCTCCTCCTCCTCCTCCTCCTCCTCCTCCTCCTCCTCCTCCTCCTCCTCCTCCTCCCTCCCTCCTCCTCCTCCTCCTCCTCCTCCTCCTCCTCCTCCTCCTCCTCCTCCTCCTCCTCCTCCTCCTCTCCCTCCTCCTCCTCCTCCTCCTCCTCCTCTCCTGCCTCCTCCTCCTCCTCCTCCTCCCTTCCTCCCCCTCCCCCTCTTCCTCCTCCTCCCCCTCCTCCTCCTCCTCCTCCTCCTCCTCCTCCTCCTCCTCCTCCTCCTCCTCCTCCTCCTCCTCCTCCTCCTCCTCCTCCTCCTCCCTCTCTCCTCCTCCTCCTCCTCCTCCTCCTCCTCCTCCTCCTCTTCCTCCTCCTCCTCCTCCTCCTCCTCCTCCTCCTGCTCCTCCTCCTCCTCCTCCTCCTCCTCCTCCTCCTCCTCCTCCTCCTCCTCCCTCGGTGCTCCCTCCGCTGCCGCGGCGCGCGGCAATGCGCCGCTCCGCCACCGCGCTGGCCGCGGCGGGCGGCGCGGGCAGCGGGCCCCTGCGAATGCGGGTGCGGGCGCAGGGCGTGGACTTCGGGCGGCTGGCCGGCGGCGTGCTGGCACAGGCGCGGGGGTAGACGTTCGATCCATGCTCCTCTTCCTCTTCCGCCTCCGCCTCCTCCTCCTCCTATTCCTCCTCCTCCTCCTCCTTCTATTCCTTCTTCTCGTCCTCCTCCTCCTTCTCCTCCTCGTCATCCTTGTCCTCCTTCTCCTATTCCTTCTCCTTCTCCTCCTCAGCTTCCTCCTCCTCCTCCTCCTCCGCCTCCTCCTCCTCCTCCTCCGCCTTCTCCTCCTCCGCCTCCGCCTCCGCCTCCTCCTCCTCCTATTCCTTCTCCTCCTCCTATTCCTTCTCCTCCTCCCCCTCCTCCTCGTCCTCCGTCTCCTATTCCTTCTCCTTTTCCTCCTCAGCTTCCTTCTCCTTCTTCTCCTCCTTCTCCTCATTTTTCTCTTCTTCCTCCTCCTCCTTCTCCGCCTCCTCCTCCTCCTGCGCCTCTGTTTCCTCCTCCTTCGCCTCCTCCTCCTCCTCCTCACTCCCTCACTCCTCCTCACTCACTCCTCCTCACACTCCTCCTCCTCTTCCTCCTCCTCCTCCTCCTCCTCCTCCTCCTCCTCCTCCTCCTATTCCTTCTCCTCCTCCTCCTCTTCCTCCTCCTCCTCCTCCTCCTCGTCCGCGTCCGTAGCCATTTTGGCTCAAGGCCGTAGTGTTTCGCTCAGGACTTGAGATTCTGGCGTGGGGGAGGCGCGGCCCCCGGCCGCTCTCGCGCCTCCCGAGTGGCCTGCCCTGGCCTGGAGGCGCTGCTGCATACCGTGTACTGTACGGGGTTTCCCGCCTGTGCACAGCACGATTTCTTTTTCACTCTCGAGTACGGAAGGCCCATGGCGCCCTCTCATGCTTCTCAAGGCGGTACGCCGCCCTCGGGTCACAAGCAGAGACGCCAGGCGTGGGCCAAGCCATGGTATTGCAAGCACTGCTGGTCGCATCAGACAGGCGATAGGTGGTGGAACAGAGCAGATCTCGATCACTGCTCGCTGCAAGCAGCCCAAGGCGTCAGCATTTGCAGGGATCAAGCAGCCAGGCACTCCCACTGTGTCGGCGCTTAAGGCCCCAGCGCAGCCCGACCCCAAGCTCACTGCTGAGCTCAAGAGGTTGCGCGATGAAGTTACACAGCTACGGAAGAAGGAGGTCGCAACAAAGCCCAACGGCGACGCCATGGATGTCGACGAGGGCAAGGACAGCGACGCAGACCTACGCAAGGAGCTCGGGGCAGTCACCGAGAAGCTGGTGACAATTGCAGATTTGGAAGGCCCAGAGTTCGATGAGTTGCGGGAGAAGTTGCGAGCGCGTCAGACCACCTTGCGAGGACAGATCACTCGCGGCAAGTCTCTGGACACGCGGCTCAAATATATGTCCTTTCAGCACACGAAGTTGGTCAATAAGCGGGAGCGCCGGACCGAAGTGACCGAGGAGCTCAAGCAGGTGGTGGCAGAAGCGCAGAAGGCTGTGGAGGGCGCGGCCAAGGCGCTTCACGCCACAGTCACGGAAATCACGGAGTTGGAGGCCGAGCGGTGCCAGTTGGTGGCTGACGCGCCACGGGCCCCTGAGAAACCCATTGACGACGGCGCGCAGGGGCTCAAGCAGCTCCTTGCCAGCAGTCTCACGGTCGAGAAGTGTGGCGAGTTGCTCGAGGGCTTTGGTGGCAAGTCGGCTTTGGCGCAGAAGCTGCACGAGTGCTTGGCTGAGGCGGAGGCGGCGGAGGAACTGCACGGTGCTCAGCCGCGCCGCGCCGCCGAGGAGGCGAGGGAGCGGCAGCAGCAGCGGCAGCAGGAGGCCGATCAGGCCGCTCAGGCTGCTGCAGCTGCGACGGATGAGCACTGGCAGCGCTGGGGGCAAGCCATCCCGTCGGAGGCGGGCGATCCAGAGGTGCTGCGGGAGTTCTTCCGCTCGGTCGAGCAGCGGGTGCCAGATGATGAAGTTGAGTTGCGTGAAGCAGCCAAGAGGGCGGGCGCCATGTTGCCGTCGTTCGCGAAGCGGCACACGGCATCGTAGTTGGCAGTTGGCGTTGGTTGGTCTATATGTGTGCTTGCTCTCTTTTGTCGGCATCATGACGCGCATTGCTACTGTCAACACTACGTCATTCAACCCGCTTGCTGAGATGTTCGAGGCCGATGCTCCTGTGCTAGGAAATGAGCAGCCTATCGTGTGCGTGCAGGAGCATCACGTCACGGCTGCGAGCATGAGATCATGTCAAGGACGCATGAGTGCGGTCGGCGACCACGGTGCGTGGGCCCCAGCCAAAGAGGCTGACCACGGGCATGGCACGCGCGGTGGCGTGGCGGTGATTGCGCCGAAGAAGGTGCAGGTGACGGCTGGGCCGTTGCTGGCCGACATCAAAGGAGTGCTGCTGGACGGGAGACTTGTTGCGGCGCTAGTGCACATTATTTGGTTCAAAGGAGGCTCCGTGACAGTGTCAACTTATCTCCGCATCAGCGAAGAGATGGGACATAATAATGTGACGCTGCCCACGACGTTGGCTCAGTATCTGCTTAGCTTGCGAGCGCTTGGGTATGAGTGGATTATTGCAGCTGGCTGCAACATGGACCGCGCTCTGATGCAGCCGTGGGCGACTTCTAAAGGAGGAGTTCTGGTGGCGCCGTCTGCGCCCGCATGTATTCAGAGTGCACCAGGTACGACGATTGATTACTTCATCATGTCTGAGGGGGTTGCTATCCGTTCCGGAATGATGGAAATGGTGGACACTGCGACGATCTGGCCACATCGGCCTGTGCTGATGCAAGTTCAAGCCAAAGACGCAGTCTTGTGGTGCCGAGCTGCTGGTCAACCAAAGTCTCTTCCTGCGCTGGCCAAGCCAGGTTGTGGGCGGTTTCCACGTGATTGGAAGCAGTTCCATGGTGATATTCAGCATGCCACGACAGCTGATCAATTGGCAGGTTTCTGGGATTTAACGGTTCAGGGTATCGAGGCTGAGCTTCTGGGCCAGCGTGAGGTTGCTGGACCCCGCCGCCATGGTTACGAAGGCGGAGCTGGAGAGAGCCAAGCTCGTTGGAAGAAGCTCCGTGCAGTCCCACAGCACCGACAGCCTCGACCCTCGTGCGAGTATGCAGCGTGGAGTGCAGCGGCCAGGTGGGCCAGGCATCAGCGTAGTGTGCGCATCGTGCTGGAATCGTACATTCCCAACCTTGACGCGGACTTGGGCGAGCTGCCGAGGAGGTTGAAGCGCGTTGCCAAGGTCCCGATTGAGACCGAGGCCTTGCTCGGCAGGATCCAGAGGCTCGACTGGGTGTTCGCCCACCCTGACGAGCTGACGGCAAGGTTTTTCAGGTCTGGAGTTGATGTGATACGTGATCCGTCTACGCCCGGTTTCATTGAGCGAGTTTTGTCCCTGGCCCAGGAAAAGGAGGCCGTGTTTTTGGCCAGCAAAGAGGAATCCTGGCAGTCCTGGGTCAGGGAGGCGTTCTTGGACGGGGCCAAAGCTGCCCATCGTTTTACCAGGGTCCGTGGTATCCAAGAGGTGCTCACCGAGGAACATCGGATCCAACCTTCGAGCTTGCCGACGATACGTGCCGCGAATGGTCCCATATTTGGATCACTCATTCTTGCGACGATTTGAAGTTGCCGAGCGATTCGAAGGATTGGGCGAGCCTGCCGCCGCTCGGGGTCGACGATTTGAGGAGAGCGATTGCGCGATTTTCCCCGGAGACGGCGGTCGGCTGTTGTAAGATCCATCTTCGTGCGCTCCAGTACCTTTCCGATGCGATTCTAGCCGCGTCTGCGTCGCTACTGATGCAATGTGAAAGGGCGCTCGTCTGGCCGAGCAAGCGCTTGGTGTGCAGGCTTGTCGGGCTGCCAAAACCCGACGGCGGCCACAGGCTAATCGCTATTCTAGACACGATTCTGCGAGTCTAGGAACGCATTCGGCGCTCTGTGTGAGGAGTGGGATGTGGGGAGTCGTGTTCGGGGGTTTTGGGGGTCTGGGAAGGGCAGATGTGCGTTGGACTCTGCGTTCGATTTGAAACTTTTCGGCCGAGGTAGCCAGAGCCAGAGGCTGGCACTCGGTATCCCTCTTGCTAGACATGATTAAATGCTACGAAATGGTAGAGCTCTCGGTCCTGCTACAGATTTTTAGACAGGTCGGTTTCCCGCTCCGCCTTGGTTGGATGGTCATCCAGACCTATCTCGCCCCTCGGAGGATTGATGCTTTCGGCTCGCTTTCGGAGCCATTCGTTTCTTTCCAAGGGATTGTAGCAATATGCTTGGCGGCTACCTATATCATGATGGCAGTGCTGCTGCAACCAGTTAAGTTTGTGATTGAGAGATTTCCAGTCCAGGCGATAACTTTAATGGACGATGTCCCTCTGCACTGGTCAGGTCCCGACCTTGGGCGAGGTAAGGTGGTCCTTGCTGCGGCTAGGGAGTTATGCCATCTTGTGCGCCCGATTAGCCTTCTGTTGCAACCCAATAAGTCGGGGTTTGTGGCTGCCAGCTTGGCCGCTTCCAAGCATGTGGCAATGTCGGCTAAGTTGATGGGAATGCGAGGATCTGATCACATGGGAAACCTTGGCCATGATTTGTTTGACAGGCGTGCTCTCCGAACGGTGGAAGCCAAGAGGCGAGGAGGGGGCGCCGCGTCCAGGTGCTTAGGAAGTCAGCGGGCACCAAGGTTGCTGGCTTGCGGCGTACAGGCCTCGTGCCCAGCGGGGGCCACGGGGCCCCGATATCAGAAGTGACCAAGTGACGCGCTCAGAACTCTCAGGGCCTTAGCTGGGAGCCTTATGGGGGCGGGTGGAGCTTTTCGCGTCACTGGTTCCTTGTATACCCAGAAGGATCCCAGCTTTGACCCCGTAGTCGATGCTACGATCCCGCTAGTGTTCAGACGTTGCTGCTGGCTCTGGGACCGGTCGGGCGTGTTTTGGGCGCCATTCCTGGGGCCATCCAGACCGTCCCCAGGGCCGAATTGAGATTATCAGTGATCATCTCTCTGCGGTGCAAGAGGCATCGAGCTGGTCTTCCGAACTGGCTACAGATTGTCACAAGCATGCGTGCATCTGGCGAGATGTGTTTCAGTTGTGTCCAGCAGGAGCTCCGCCCAGTGAGAGGCCCCGAGTCCGCTAGACCCCAGCCCGCGGAGACCTCGACCCCCTCTTGTTTGGCCAGTGCGCTTGGAGCCTGGATCGAGCCGTGGACACTGATGTTTTCGATTATCTGGGCAACATGTGGGCCGATTTCTTTGCAGAGCTGGGGGCGAAGCAGCGTGCCATTTCTACGTCGCCACCGCCGCTTTAAAAGCGCAGTTGAAGGACGTGAAACAGACGCGCCGATTTCTGGGTCAGGTCGCTCAGTCTGTCGCGTCTCAGGCTGATTCCTCTTCAATGTCTGCGAGGCCCTGCCGTGGCCCCTTGGCGGTGCCTCAATTTTCCATCCTTTCTCACGACCTGGAGGTGGCGGAGAGTGGGTGGGTGGGTGGGGGGTGGGTGGGGGTGTACGTGGTGCCACTGCTCAGGCAAGACTTCGCTCTCTCGAGCAAAGCTTGAGCAGCCTGGCAATAAGTGTGAGCCCGCGCCGCTCCACTTGTATCTTGCAGCTGTTAGGGCCGAGCGTCACAGTGGCCTCCTCCCAAGGGCGCCTAGTGATGCTGACCGGAACGCCTGTCGTGAGCTGGGGCTCACCTAGGGTGGCCTGCGCGTGCGGGCTCTGGAAACTTTCGAGTATCGGGGCCATTGCGTGCAGGCCGCAGACAAGTTTTTGATGTGCCGCCGCTGCGGCGCCCGTGCCTCCATCGAGGCCCCAGTGTGGATGGGGCCTTTTGGCGGACTGCCGAGGCCCTGCTGAGAGGGCCTCAGTGCAGTCCTGGCGCATTGACGCTGCTCTAGCGGGTCGCGGGGTCCGCTAGTTGGTGCAGGCTACGGTGGCAGGCAGCGGCTGGTGCCGTTGTGCTGCTTGCCACCGCGGCCTGTGCCCTAGTGGCCGTCGGCATGTGCGGGGGGCTGCGGGGCCGTGACACACGGGAATCCCGCGCCCTCCATCTTTCCCCTTGCCCGCCAGCCCTCATCCGATTCGGATGTTGCGCCTCGGCCTGATCCCTGATCCCTCCTCCTCGTCCGCCTTCTCCTATTCCTTCTCCTTCTCCTCCTCAGCTTCCTTCTCCTTCTCCTCCTTCTCCTTCTCCTCCTTCTCCTCCTTCTCCTGCACCTCCTATTCTTCCTTGTCCTCCTCCTACTCCTCCTTCTCCTCTTCTTCTTTCTCCTCCTCCTCCTCCTCCTCCTTCTCTTCCTTATCATCCTCCTCTTCCTTCCTATTCCTTCTCCTTTTCCTCCTCTTCCTCATCTCCTTCTCCTTCTCCTTCTCCTTCTCCTTCTCCTTCTCCTTTTCCTTCTCCTTCTCCTTCTCCTTCTCCTTCTCCTTCTCCTTCTCCTTCTCCTTCTCCTTCTCCTTCTCCTTCTCCTTCTCCTTCTCCTTCTCCTTCTCCTTCTCCTTCTCCTTCTCCTTCTCCTTCTCCTTCTCCTTCTCCTTCTCCTATTCCTTCTCCTCCTCGCCCTTCCCCTTCATCTCTTCCTCTTCCTTCCCCTCCTCCTTTTCCTCCTTCTCCTTCTCTTTCTCCTTCTCCTTCTCCTTCTCCTTCTCCCTCTCCGTCTCCTTCTCCTTCTCCTTCCTCCTCCTCGTCCTCCTCCTCCTCCGTTTCCTCCTCGTCGTCCTCCGCTCAACAGCGAGCGACAGCCTGCTTGCAGTCGTTGGCTTCGCTCGTCGTGCTTGAGGAAATGGCGCGGGAGGGCGCGGGTGATGCGCGCCCGGCCTCTGGCCGGCACCCGGGGCGCTGTTCTGCTGCGGAACGCAAGGCGCGCCGTGCCTGGGATCGCGCCTCGGCGGACAGGGCGATCCTCAAGTTGTCGGGAGAGGTGGGCCGCTTCGATGGGCTGCTGCGTGCGGCGGAGGCGGCCCTGGTTACTGTCGTCGGCGACGCGGAGGCTGCGCAGCGTCTGCGGGCGCTCCTTCCCGCATTGCTGGCGATGCTTCGAGGCGAGCCGCCTACGTGGCTGGAGAGGCTGCGGCGCAACGTCGCCCTCCACGCTGACGCTTCGGGCATCGACGTGGCGGCGGCGGACGCTGCCTTGCTTCGCCAGGGCCAGGGCGGGCCCCGCCTCGGAGTGCGACGGGGCGACGTGGGTCGTGGCGCTGCCAGCCTCTCCGCGGACGCCGAGGTGTTCGTGCCTCGCGGCGTGGGCGACATGGGCGGCGGCGACGAGGAGCTCGAGTACCAGTTCGACGCAGGCTCGGCCACGGTCCCGTCGGTGTGGCCTGGGCGGGCTCTGGGAGGTCTGCGAGTCCCCACCGTTGGTGCACGATGCCTGCTCGGACTTTGTGGAGAAAGCCTTGCCCTCGATGCTGAAGGAGGCTGGCAGCACGGGATCCGCCTCCGTGTGCGTGCTCGAGGTTGCCCCTGGTACTTGGGAGCCTTTGGAGGGCTCCCCCGTGGGCGTGGACGATGCGGAGTCCGTCATAGCAGATGTCGTGGACGAGGTGACGCACCTTTCCGACGAGCAGTTCCCCGTGCAAGAGTCGCAGGGCTTCAAGTTCGCCGCTTCGCCGTGCTCGGTATTCTGTGGTCTGGGCGAGGAGTCGACGGGTCCCTCGAAGCGCAAGGGGGCTGCCTCGCATTGAGCAGCGGGCGCCTTCGCCTCCTCGTAGTGTACCGTTCAGTTTCTCGCAGGAGCAGTTTTGTTCCTCAACGATCAAGCCGCCAGATCCAAACGCAGAGTGCCACCAACAGTGATCATCATCGAAGTGACCTTGCTCGAGGTCTGCCTGTCGGATGGTGGCTTCCAGTATGGAGTGTCCTTCGTGCTGTACGTGTCTTTCGGCTTCTTCCTCGTGGTTTTCGCGATGCTCGAGGGCGTGCCGCACGAGGGACTTTGAGCAGCGCAGCGGTAAAACAAATCCCCGTCGTCCTCCGCTTCCTCCTCCTCGTCCTCCTCTTCCTCCGCTTCTCCTCCTCCTCCTCTTCCTCTTCCTTCTCTTCCTCCTCCTTCTTCTGAGGAGAGCGCCACAGCCTGACAATCGTCCCACAAGTCAGTTTGAGATGCGCGGAGATCTCTCAGGCCATGGTTCATTGCATGATTTTGCTATCGCAGGTCGTCTCTTGTAGTGTTCGCAGTTTGCCTGGCGACGTTTTGATTCGCACAGTGGTCGAGGCCGAATCAGGTGAAATTCTTTGTTCGTGCTCCTGCCTCCTCCACATATATACAGGCGCCAGGGTCGATGTTTGATCCACACCCGTGCTGCTGCCTCCAACTGGCCGGCAGGGGGGGCAGGGTATGAATGAAGTACCGAGGAATTAATAGGGACATACGCATAACATTTTGGAGGTCCGTTCCGATTTCTTGGATCGGCGGTGGACGCCATTCCGTGGTGCGCGGAGCGCGTAAGGGGCGTCGCCGGAAGCGCCGCCGGGTGGCCGCCAGCGCCGATCCGAGAAATCCGCGCGGACTTTCCGAAAGTTTGTGGTCATTCTTTCAGTGCCCCGACAAAAGATGGCATCCACAGGCTGGATTTTCAGCCATGCCCCCCCCCTACCGCCCCCAATGTTAAGTCGGGCGTGTCCCTCTACAGGAGGAATAGTCCAAAGTAGTTAAGAAATAGTCTGGGGACAATCATCTGGGCATTTTCTGATTTTTTAATATATATATATATATATATTTCCGTCTAAAATCCCTTTGTAGGGGGACAGGCCCGACTCGACCTCAATGGATGGCGTCTCGATCGCCGGCAGGCGCGGGCGCAGCTCGGCACGGACGTGGACGCCGCTGGCGACCTGGCCGTGAGCAACGCCGTCAAGGCGCTCGCGCTCGCAAACCTGTTCGCGAAACAGGAGTTCACCGCCCACCAAAGCACCCCCACCCAGCCCGAAGGCGCCCCGATGTGCCCTCCATTTCCAGTGTGTGGGGGGGTCGGGGAACATGGAAAGAATACATTTGGAGCCCTCCCCCCCCCCAACCCGAAATTCGGGTCTTCGGGTTGGGTTGGGGTGGTTTGGCAGACAGTCAGGAGTCCTCGCACGGCGTGGTCTTTGTCCCGTTGCTCGTGGTGGGCGACGGTGGCGTCGAGGGCGCGGCCGCGGGCGAGCGCAAGCTGGTGCGTCCGGTGGCAAGTCGTGGGAGCCTCGTAGGGCCTCGTGATGCCGTCGTTAGGGTGTGTCGGCGTCTTGGTAATCGATGGGGTAATGATGGGGTAGCTTCGATTTGGCGTCGATTAGCGTCGAGTAGCGTCGATTAGTGTCGATGGATTTAGCGTCGCTTAGCGTCGATTCGCGAGAGCCAGCAAGATGGTACCGGACAGCTCCCAGGAGTTGCCAAAGAAGGTGCGCCTGTCGGTGAGCCCCCGGCGGCTTCACTCTGCAGCTGGGGCGGGCGCGGTCGCCTACCCCGAGGACTCGGGAGCCCCCAAACGGTTCGGGGACCACACCGTGCCGTGAGTCGTTGGGGATTTGGGGTGGCCAAGCGGTTTTGGGGCTTGGCTCTTTCTCCAAGGACGCCTCGGGGGACTGGTGCCTCCAAGGTCCCAAAACCGTGAGGTGGCGGACCATTCGGTGAGACTAGGCTTCCTGGGCGGGGCGGGGTCCGAGTAGATGGGATCGGAGGATCGCGCCGCATGCCGATGCAGCGGCGATGTGGCGCGATGGGGAGGCCGATTTTCTCCGCCCCGACGTCGCCGATCTATCGCCGACGTCGCCAACGTATCGCCGATGCATCGGTGGTGCATCGACGACACGGCGCGATCCTCCGACCCCATCTGCTCCGACCCCATCTGGGAGGCCTCTAGTGAGGTCTTCGGAGGTGCCGAGGTCACCGCGCTCCGGGGCGGGGATTTATCTATAACCACCGCCTGGAGGATCGATTTTCTGGGACCTAGGCAGGCGGTGGATTTGGACATATTCGGGCCGCCTCGGGCCCCACATACATACATACATACATACATACATACATACATACATACATACATACATACATACATACATACATACATACATACATACATACATACATACATACATACATACATACATACATACATACATACATACATACATACATACATACATACATACATACATACATACATACATTACTTACTTACATACATACATACACACACATACATACATGCATACATACATACATACATACATGCATGTATGCATACATACATACACATACATACATACATACATGCATACATACATACATACATGCATGCATACATACATACATACATGCATGCATGCATACATACATACATACACACATGCATGCATGCATGCATACATACATACATACACACATACACACATACAAATATACAAACATACATGCATACATACATTCATACATACATACATACACACATACATATATACACATACATACACACATACATACGTACGAACATACACACATACATACATACATGCATACAACCATAAACACAACAGACATACAAGCATACACACATTAACACATGCAAACACATACACACATACACATACATACATCCATCCATCCATCCATCCATCCATCCATCCATACATACATACATACATACATACATACTGTGAAGACTCTATAGCCTGTGAAGACGCTTTTCCTGGTGAAGACGCTATTCCGGGCGAAGACGTTATTCCGGGTGAAGACGTAGTTCCTTGTGAAGACGCTATTCCCGGTGAAGACGCTAGTCCCGGTGAAGACTCTATAGCCTATGAAGACGCTATTCCTGGTGAAGACGCTATTCCGGGTGAAGACGCCATTCAGGGTGAAGGCGCTATTTTGGCTGACGACGCTATTCCGGGTGAAAAAGCTATTCCGGGTGAAGACGCTATTCCCGTTGAAGACGCCATTCTTTGTGAAGACGCTATTCTCTTGTAAAGACGCTATTCCGTGTGAAGACGCGATTCTGGGTGAAGACGCTATTCCCGGTGAAGACTCCTATAGCCTGTGAAGACGCTATTTTTGGTGAAGACGCTATTCCGGGCGAAGACGTTATTCCGGGTGAAGACGCAGTTCCTTGTGAAGACACTATTCCCGGTGAAGACGCTAGTCCTGGTGAAGCCTCTTTAGCCTATGAAGACGCTATTCCTGGTGAAGACGCTATTCCGGGTGAAGACGCCACTCCGGGTGAAGACGCTATTTTGGTTGACGACGCTATTCCGGGTGAAAAAGCTATTCCGGGTGAAGACGCTATTCCCGTTGAAGACGCCATTCTTTGTGAAGACGCTATTCCCTTGTAAAGACGCTACTCCGTGTGAAGACACGATTCTGGGTGAAGACGCTATTCCTGGTGAAGACGCTATTCCCGGTGAAGGCGCTATTCCGGGTGACGCTGTTCCCGGTGAAGACGCTATTCCCGGTGAAGACGCTATTTAGGTGAGAACGCTATTCCAGGTGAAGACGCGATTCTGGCTGAAGACGGTTCTCCGGGTGAAGACGCTGTTCCCGGTGAAGACGCTATTCCCAGTGAAGACGCTATTTAGGTGAGAACGCTATTCCAGGTGAAGACGCGATTCTGGCTGAAGACGGTACTCCGGGTGAAGACGCTATTCCGGGTGAAGACGCTATTCCCGGTGAAGATGCTATTCTTTGTGAGGACGCTATTCCCGGTGAAGACGCTATTCGGGGTTAAGACGCTATTCCCTGTGAAGATGCTCTTTTTCTTCACCAGGCCCAGTATTCAACGTGCTCCCCTCCCAATTGTAATTTGAAAGTGCAATTTTATTACGCCTTCCGTGCCTAACACAACGCGCGCCCCATCTGCTGTGCGACACCCTCTGCTAGGCAAGACCCCTCCCCAAGTGAATAAAACACGTCCTTGGTGCCCCATCTGCTGTGCAACACCCTTTTCTGGGCAAGACCCCATACCGGAGGACCCCTCCCCAAGTTGATTCAAACAAAATATTTGGTGCTAGACGTGCCCCATCTGCTGTGCGGCACCCTCTGCTCGGCAAGATTTCTCCCCAAGTTGGTAAAACAAGACCGTGATGTTAGACGTGCCCCATGTGCTGCGCGGCGCCTTCGGCTAGGCAAGACGCCTCCCCAAGTTGATGAAACAAATAATCCTTGGTGCTAGATGTGCCCCTTTGCTGTGCGGCACCCTCTGCTAGGCAAGAGCCACCCCCAAGTTGATAACAACAAATAATCATTGGTGCTAGACGTGCCTCATTTGCAGTGTGGCACCTTTTGTTGGGCAATGGCCTTCCCCAAGTTGAATTAATTTATAAAGATTCCTTGGTGCTAGGCGTGCCCCACCTGCTGTGCGGCACCCTCTGCTAGGCAAGACCCCTCCCCAAGTTGATTCAAAAAAGAATCCTTGGTGCTACACGTGCCCCATCTGCTGAACGACACCTTCTGCTAGGAAAGACATCTGTTGTGCGGCACCTTCTGCTAGGCAAGACCCTTCCTCAAGTTGCTTTAAAAAGGAATCCTTGGTGCTAGATGTGCCTCTTTGCTGTGCGGCACACTCTCCAAGGTGAGCCCCTTTGCTGTGCGGCACCTTCTGCTGGGCAAGACCCTTCCCCAACTTGATTTAAACAGAATCCCTGGTGCTAGACATGCCCTTTTGCTGTGCGGCACCTTTGCTAGGCAAGACCCCTCGCCAAGTTGATTAAAAATGAATCCTTGGTGCTGGACATGCCCCTTTGCTGTGCGGCACACTCTGATAGGCAAGAACCCTCCCCAAGTTGACTAAACAAGAATCATTGGTGCTAGGCGTGCCCCATCTGTTGTGCGGCACCTTCTGCTAGGCAAGACCCTTCCTCAAGTTGCTTTAAAAAGGAATCCTTGGTGCTAGATGTGCCTCTTTGCTGTGCGGCACACTCTCCAAGGTGAGCCCCTTTGCTGTGCGGCACCTTCTGCTGGGCAAGACCCTTCCCCAACTTGATTTAAACAGAATCCCTGGTGCTAGACATGCCCTTTTGCTGTGCGGCACCTTTGCTAGGCAAGACCCCTCGTCAAGTTGATTAAAAATGAATCCTTGGTGCTGGACATGCCCCTTTGCTGTGCGGCACACTCTGATAGGCAAGAACCCTCCCCAAGTTGATTAAACAAGAATCATTGGTGCTAGGCGTGCCCCATCTGTTGTGCGGCACCTTCTGCTAGGCAAGACCCTTCCCTAAGTTGATCAAGGCAGAATCCCTGGTGCTAGACATGCCTTTTGCTGTGCGGCACCCTCTGCTGGGCCAGACCCCTCGCCAAGTTGATTCAAAAAAGAATCCTTGGTGCTAGATGTGCTCCTTTGCTGTGCGGCACCCTCTGATAGGCAAGAGCCCTCCTCAAGTTGATTAACAAGTAATCATTGGTGCTAGGCGTGCCCTACCTGCTGTGCGGCACCTTCTGCTAGATAAGACCCCTCCCCAAGTTGATTAACAAAAAATCCTAAGAGGCTCCAAAACGGCCCCCCAGGAGGCTTCACAACAGCTTCCAAGAGCCCGACGAGAAACCTCCCAAGAGACCCCCAAACGAACATCCAGGAGGCCTTGGACCCGCAACACAGCCCCATCGGGTGGCGGCCGCCGGCGGCGGCGGGGGCGGCCGACGAGAAACAGGTTTCTCGTCGGGCTCTGGGGTGCTGTTTTGAAGCCTCCCGGGGGGCCGTTTTTCGTTTGGTTTTCTTGGGGGCCTCATGGGGCCTCCTGGGTGTATCTCGAGGCCTCCCAGGACCTTCTTGAGGCGGACTGCCCCAGGAGCCCGCAGGATGGATCCGTTGGAAGCGTGTCACTGGTGCGGCGCGGTCCGGGTGGCTTCACAATCCTTTTAAGGTTTAACGTATGTGTCTATAGATTGGTCCTCTCCTGGGGCTTCTTGGGGCCTCCGGGGGCTTCTGGGGCCTCCTGGAGCTTCCTGCGGCTTTCTGGGGCTTCCTGGAGTCTCCTAGAGCTTCCTGGGGCCTCCCGGGGCTTCCCGGGGCTTGCTGGGACCTCCTGGTGCCTTCTGGGGTTGTCTTGGCCCCTCCCAGTACCTCCTGGAGTTGTCTTGGCCCTCTCCTGGGGCGCGAATCCTTTGTTTTAACCGTATGTGCCAATAGATTGGCCTTCTCTTGGGGCACGAATCCATTGTGTTTCACGTATGTGCCTATAGATTGGCCTACTCTTGGGGTGCGAATATTTAGTGTTTTACGTGCGTGCTTATACATAGTGGCCGTATCATGGAGCGCGAATCCTCAGCGTGTTACGTGATGCGTAGAGATTTGCCTGTTTGAGGGGCGCGAATCCTTTGTGTTTTACACATGTGCGTATAGGTTGACCCTCTTCTAGGGCGCGGGTCCTGTGTGTGTTCACGTGTATGCCTATAGCTTGGCCCTTTCCAGGGGCACGGGTCTTTCGTGTTTTACGCATTTGCTGATAGATTTGCCCTCCCCTGGGGCACGAGCCCTGCGTGTTTT